TACAAAACCATGACTAATTTGAAGAATCTATTGATGAAACTTTTGACAACAGTTTCTTAATTTCGAATTGTAATAATCCCTTAGGAGAGGGAACAGATCCAAAATTGTTTTTCGTCTTAACGTTGCAACAAAGGACCGTCCGAAAGTTAAATTGAAAATGATTTCACAAAGGCCCTCTGAACTGTGGAGACTAATATTAGTCATTCAGTCCGTCATCTGTCAATTCAATTAAAAATGCTATTATCTAAATAAGATCGATGTCTAATGAGTTGAACACTTTTAAATGTTCAGCTGTTATATCATCTTTGGTAGACTGTTATAAAGTATAGCTTGATATTTTACCGTTTTTTTTTTGTACCACAATCTCTGCGAGAACTTTTAGCGCTGATGAAAATAAAAATAAATTGAAACATGGTTTTAAGAAAGCAAATAAATGTTATGACTAGCAGAATTTACTAAATAAATGTCGAAACACATAACAGTTTCGTTGTTAAGAAGGCTATACTTATGTTATTTTTCTTCCATCAAAGTTCCATCAACCCAAAAACCATAATTACGGATCCTGTTGTTAAATGGAAGTAGGAAAAGAAACCTTTTAGTGCGTCATAAATTGGGATCTCAAAAATGGACATAGCTAAGATATGGTTTCCATTGTAGCCACATGGTTTGTGATTTTGATAAATTTCGCTTTGTGTGGACGCTTTGAATATCAAGAGTTTTGCGATTGAATATAATTTGTTTCTGCTTTGATGTTGGCGAAATTGAGATATTTGTACAAATTAAAATATTCCATTCTGGTTTTGAGCTTCGTGAGGGTTTAGTATCACTTTCTGTAATAGCTTATGCATATTTTTTATACATTTAAAGTATTCTTTGATGATATCAAGGCTTCTAATGTTTATGATGTATTTATCTAGTTTGATGTGGCTATGGTTGGAAGGGTCGTGGCAGATACACATGTAATCCAAAATATTGATATTCCTCGGTCCTATAACGCTGAGCGTTTACAGCCCAATGGATTTCGGACAACACGAACATTCCGTCGAGACCCCTACAATTAACAATCAATGTTACATAGAGGCCGTTACTTTGTCTATCCCTTTCCGGGTTTTATCGTGGCCATCCTAACTCGTTTACGTCGCTCGTTAGACTTACTCGTGTATTATCCTTTATAGCCAACACTTCAACAATAATGTTGTGAGAATAAACTGTTCGGAGCAACTAGTGTCGTTATCGCGCGTTTTTTACAACGCGTTTTGCAAGCAGCTGACGGTGTCGTTAGTCAAAAGTGTATGCTATTTTCGCCTTTGTTGTTGCTCCTGAATATTACCTGGTACCTAAATACAGGTTTAGTGTTAGCGGTATGAAATAAAATTTATATGTGTCATTTTATTCTGTCTTGTTTTATTGAACCATTATATTTTTTCATTCTGAGTGTTTGACCTTTTGGTTTCCTAATTATATTATGTAAATATGTGTTTTAAGAGTTTTGTTTTATGAGTTTAAAATCAAGTAATCCAAAATTATATTGATAGGTCGATCAGTTTCAATGAATAAATTTAAACATTTTATTAGCTGTATCTTTGGTTGATCATCTCGGCGTCGAAGAGAAAAATGTAAGACAAAGCGTTTAGATTTCAGGAGAAACAAACTAAACGAGAAGAATATCCTCTCAAGACGGACAATGGGAACCTCAGTTTAGTAGATGTATTCCAAGGCAGTGGAACTCTTGTTCTTTGAGCTTACATAACAATTGCTTAGGCCCGAAGTGTCAAGTTATACTGGCCGAGCGTCACGCCGAAGACAATAGCGCAAACATTAATAACTTTCTTTGTTTCCTACCCTGAGCTCAAGATGGAGGTGAGTGGCGATGAATTAACTGATATTAAATATCAAGTTTTGTGTACTCCGAGATGAAGACGGCGCCCGATCTGTTTAAATGGTCTGAACGGCTTAATCATTTCATTAATCATTAAGCCAGATACGACTTGCATAAGGTTCTGGGATAAGGACTAGCTTAGCACATGATCAGCTTTCAGGTTACTAGTTTTCACGTTCTTTATACGGTTGCGCGTACATACATATGTATACATAAATATATGTATATGTATATATAAAGGTTTGATTTCTTTCAATAACCTTAATTCCGAAATTAATTATTTTGAAGTTTTATTATCAGAAAAACCGTTTGTTTCTTTACCGAAGCAATTCTCGAATTTAAGCAAATAAAAACACTTGATGCGTCTCCGGGTCGTGAAAATTTGAACTTAAGGAAGTTGGATTATAATAATTTGTCTCGCTCAACTCAACCGAGGAATCAAACCTTAATCCATCGGAAGTGTTGAGCAAACCGAGCAACTCAATTTGCATTATGACCTCACAACAAACTTGATCTTTACGAAAAAACTCTCCAACTTTGAAACTCTTGTTTTTCACCATCCGTAAGAAAACATCAAATAGGAGGCCGGGCGGAGCAATTCTGTTTTGTAATAATCCCCGGACAAGGCCTATTCTTAGGGGCCTCTTAATTAAAACATAAATGGCTTTCCGATGAGAAAATGTTTTTAGCCGAAGACGGAATTAGAAACATGAATTGCGATTTTTATTTGATCGAAAACATTGTGATGGTATCGAAAGGCAACTCGACTCAGCACAGATGAGAGCTCGTTTTAAATAAAAAAAAAACAAATCAGTTCAAATAAAACGTCGTATAAGGTTGCTGTATACGTATTTACGAGCTAGAAAACTTTAAAAAAAACGGACCATTTAATTATGTAGTCTGACAGAATAATATTTTGCAATCAAATTTGATGTTTAATATTAATATTTTGCAATATACCTATGACGGCTGTGTTTATATACAAACAATGTCACTATCATAATGGAGGACTGTTTAATGTATAAAATATCTTTAATTCATTATCAGATGTTAATATAGAGTTCAATTTTAGTTCTTGCTTGCAATTTCTTGCTTTTAAGTATAATTAATATAGTACTTATTTGTAAAAGTGATTATAACCGATTCGGAAGTAAAACAAGAATAGCCCAGAATGACGTTTTGTATAAACACGAGCGCAAAACCGCGGGATGAATATATGTAGTAACATATGTTAAAGATAATTCCAGTAATGTTTTTCCCAAACACTGTAATCCTAGTTGAACTAACTGTACATAGTGTTATCTAAAATAATGTCAACCCCATGAAATCCACATTACTCCTAATTCCGAAACCCAAATCGTATCATCAAATCAGCATGCAATTCAGGAATTTCTCGTGTAAAATGGTTCACCAAAATAATGGTATTGTGCTCTAATGTCAGTTGTATGCATTTATTTTAGTAACTGGCTGCAAGTGCCTCGCCTCGTTTATATTCAATTGTTATCTGAAAAATATATGAAGCGGCAGCGAAAAGAGCTTCGCTACCCTGGGAACATGGAGTGCATTAAAAGTGTTTATCTCCAACGAAACCAGTGACATGACGAGATTTCTATGAAAGCTTTGGAGTTGTCTCTGGGATTTTACACTTTTAATATATTTATTTTACGAAACAGAATTATTTTTCGATAAAATTCAGTTCCTCTAACTTTATAATCTCCATATTCGATTAGTGTTTAAAATAAATAAAATTGTACTAAATTTTGAGTTATAACAAAAACATCAATCCTTCAATAAATTATATGACAGTGAATTGTTTGTATATTAGAATTAAATGTATTAACAATACACCAACAATCAGTCCACTCCGACCACAAACGACAATGAAATCGTCCACGAAAATCATATATTCCTGAGTATATCTGAAGAACACTTATACAAGCCCGATGTAGTATACTTAATGAAAAAGGGTTATCTTTGGAAGGGTCGAACGATGTCGATGGCAGAGTGAGAGCACTCGTGTTCTCGCAGGTAGGTAAATGTCTCAGATGCTCGCCTTTGTGAACATTCTTCTGTTCTTGATTAACTTTATAAATATAATATTATCATTCCTCTATCACACATGTTTGTAAACTGATATTAATTCCCGTCTGTGTCCCAGCCTTAACACAGTGTCTTGTCTTAAGTCTCCCACTAATAAGTCTAAGCTTCTAGTACTTAATCAACGTCAGAACGGACAGAGAACAATTACATTGAAACCTAGTTTAAACTATTGCTACATGTCTGTGATACGTACAGAATAACATTTCATTAATATTATTAAACATTAACAACAGTAAGTTATACTGCATACAATCTAAAGGAAATTTGATATAAACTTAATTAGGAATAAAATTATTTTTTAATTAAAAAAATATTTACCTGTATTAGTGTGGTTACGAATATTGAGCACACCACAGGCGTGGAATTCAGCGGCGTCTAGAATGTCTGGCAAGAAACTGAACTTTATAATTTAAATATTTCGTATTTATTATTTTAAATATACGATATATAATAATATGGTTTATATATCTGACATTTTATTTCTACAGTTCTTTTTGTCTGAAACTAAAGCTAAAATTAGGAATAATATACTTTGATGTACATAATATAAAATATTTGGACCCAATTGTTTATGTACCAGAGATGTATTTATACAACAATAAAGAGCATTGAAAATAGTTTAAATGATACATACATATTTATTATGAAAGGCAAAGAGAAATAAAATATAAAAATACATAAGAAGGTCTTCTGAAGGAAAGCAGGTCGTTTTAAACTACATACTCGTAGAAGTTTCAATAAAAAAATTCAGCAACCTGTTTATAAATAGACTTGTTATAGGCATTGTCAACAGGACACAGCTATAACATATTGAAATTTATTCAAGCGTCCATGTTTTTTATTAAAAAACGTTTCACTAATCAAATTATAGTGTTCACACCTATATATTCTAGCTGACAAATTAAATTTTGACTCAAAAATGATAAACCATCAATAAAAGAAGTACATCCAAACTTCAATGGTTTTAGTGTTAGAGTGAATGGTTGAAAAGAAATAGAAATATAATAAAAACTTTAAACAGGAATCCGCTCAATCTGCGTTATAGAATGTGACGTTAGGATTGTGTATGTTTGTCGGCGATGTCTGTTTGCGTTCAGGTGTTGTGGGATAAGCCGGCCGTGTCAGCGTCGCCGCATTCAATCACGTGCAGCCTGTAATGCTGTGCCAATACAGAACTATGAGGAACTATGTGCCGTGCCCTGAATCCGACAGATATAAGCTAATTCGTTTTAAAGAATACTGACGTGCTGTTTTGATACCGTTTGGAATATTGACAGAATAGTTTAATTTAGTACCGCTTAGCTTGTGAGATAATAGCTCATAAGAATTGCCTTCCTATCTTGTATCTGAGTTGATGAAAGGTAAAAGCAAGCTCTAATTTTTCTATTTTATTAAATTAAATCATATAAATTAAATTAAATGGATATTATAATTTTCCATATTCAGTTTTTTATCCTTCCCTGGTTCGGTTATAAGCTTACTTAACAATTAACTTTAAGCATAAATTGTCTTAATATTTTTCAACTCCCCAACTTTAGACTGTGATTTTCCACACCACTGGGCTTTAGTATTTCCTTTATTCTATACGTAAATTTGAAAGAATCCGACGTGGAATAGAAACGTCGCCTTACGAAATATTAATATTTGAGGTAAAAATTTTAAAGGTAAAAACCTTTGTGATCATGTCTCTAATGCCAAGAGGCCTTTGTATTCATGATAAACAAAGCGTGAATTGACTGTTCCATAAAACATTCATATTGAATTCATTAATTTACAACCTAATTATATTCGGTTATTGTTACTCCGCTGTTTCCAGACATTTCTAGAATTAACAATTTATCTCTTGCTGGATTTATACTTATATTTATTACTGTATATTAAATTAAATATATCTGAATAGATTGTGTATGTTTCTCTTCTCCTAATGTAACACTCGTCTACAGTGTGGCAGAGCATTGTCTGCTTCTTCTGTAAGCCCAACTCGACTATGATATATGGGAATGAACTCGCAATTTGTATTTGGTGATTGAATTAATTGTTCTGGGTATTTACGCTCCTTAAGCTTTTTATTTATTTTTCAATGACATATAGCTCTTTTTTCTAGTCGATACCTCCGATAGTATAATAATACCGCCATATGTGGGAAACTTAAAGAAAAAATCTTTTGGTCTTTTGGATTAAAGAAATGAATTGAAAAAAGGCTTAAAACAGTAACCTATCACACAAAACTCAAATATAATATTATGTAGTATACGCCATTCTTATATGAGACAGTAATAAATCGTTCATGTCATCTCCAATGCTTCCTACCCTTTGTGAGTCAAGGTCTAATTTTAATTTAACTGATTACTTTTTTATCTTTTAAATAAATAGTACATAATTGACGGATATTCCTACTTTCGTCTCTAGTATTGATATTGAGTATTTTGTTCTCATTACATAATTCAATCCTAATCCTCATCGGTATGACGGCCCTGTTTTGGGATTAGTTAGGCGCTGCGGTTACTTAGGTTACAGCCCCGTATATCAAGCTACGAAACTACATTACAGATATACATTCATAGGGTAAATATGTAAACAAATGTCTATGAAAACTTAGACTTGGATGACATAAAAAAAATCTGACCTTTAATGTACTATAAACAATATTTTTACATGATGTTTTAAATATTTTATAATAACATATGTATGTATATCATTTATCTACTATCTTTTTACTCAATTCATAAAGTAATTTTTACTGAGCGTGTATTAACATGTCAATAATATAATACTATTAATGAGTGATCTAAATTAATTGGCAAAGATACAACTAATTAATTATCAATCGTATTTCATTAATAATAAATTTAATAGATAATTAATTGTGATGTTAAATAGGTATTGTATAATGGAGGCATTTGATGAAGATGGAACTGGAATTGATTTCAACTGCTTTATTTTAATGAAAGTATTAATTAATAGAATGAATTAAATGTTAACATTGCTCATTTAGTCATATCAAATTATTGGACTCAGCTCATTGAATTCAGAAGAAACTTACTTTATTCCTATTTTTGTTTTTGATGTATTTTATCGTCAGCATGTTTATTTAGTAAGGCTAAAACTATAACTCTTTTTGTATATATATTTGTAGTTATAGTAATAAAATATAATTACTTACACTACTTATATTTTCATGAATTATCAGTAATCAAGTGTTAGACATTATATTCATTAAGTAATTTTAGATTGAATACAAGTTATTTTCTGATTTAAAAAACTTTACGAAATTTGCCATTTTTATTGTATTCATCTCAAAAAGTCACGTTTAAGTAATTATCTAGATTTTGAATTTGAACAATCAACTTCCGTATCAACAAATTAGATATCAATTTATGCAATACCGATGAAAAAATAAAAGTTTTTTACATTGTACGTAAAATTACTGTACTGTTTTTCATGAACTTTAACAGTAACTGCATATATTACAATTAATAAGTGTATGTTAACCTTTATTCTAATACTAATTACGCTGGGTTCACCACCCTGCTGGTATAGCACCTTATTTAGTAGGCGTGAAATAACAAGACTATAACAGAAAATATCCGTATAATTGAGTGTCTACACTACTGAATAATAAAATCAAATGACTTAGTATTTATACATATTAGGCACAATATAAGAGATACTTTGGGCTATTTATTTAACAATTATACAAATATTATTTATTTTATTTATTTCTAAAAACACATAATGCAATTTATAGTGAACGTTGACGTCCACACTAGGCTAGGCCTGTATCGTGGACATCAATTCATTTCTAGCAGACACGATTCAGTAAAATTTTTACTATTTTAATAATAATAGTAAATTACAATAACACAGTTAATTATATACGGAAAAATACACGTTTTATAATATCATCATTAGCACGTTAAATGTATAAAGTTGTAACATCTATATATCATACATTTGACGTCATTACCGGGCTCCGTTTCTTCGAGTCGTCGAATTTGACGTTAATTTCGTCGGAACCTAATCATTTCTGGCAGTTGGATTATTGACGGGGATTACTTGGAGAAATTGTTTCCCGCTGGGAGAATAACACGAAATATATAATTGCAACGCCATTGCTAGGATTAAGAAGTTTTCTTTTGCTTATATCAACCGCTTCTTGTATATTATTTAATTTGGATATCTATATGTTTGTATTGATTTAATTCAGTTATATTCTATTTAATAAATGTTATTAGTGTTCCTTTTCGTATTAATAAATACATTTCACGGGCTCTTCGTTTCGGTAATCCGTATATTCTGTGAAGGATTTCATGTAATACATTACTGATTCCTATATTGAGTATATCGAATGCTGCTTTTCGTTTGATAAAGTTTGTAAATAAATTACTCTGTATGATGTTGTTACTTCTCTTATATTCAATGATATTATTTTATATCTCTCAATATCTTTCTGTAATTACTTCTTCTTCCTGGCAATTTCCCAGCTTTAGCCAGGGTCTGCCTTACATGTTGTGAATAGTTTTGGCTAATTGTTTTTACGACCGGCCGCCTGCCTGACATCAACCCTCTTTGGGAATGCATTAATCAGTGACGTCTAAATACTCTTAAAAAGTACATCATCATCATCACTCAGCCTATAGCAGTCCACTGCTGGACATAGGCCTCTCCCAACACGCGCCATAATACTCGGTCCTCTGCCTTCCGCATCCAGTGAGACCCAGCGACCTTTTTTTTTTAAAAAGTACATATGATTCGAAAAAATCACATTGGTACTTGCCAGGATCGAACCCTCGCCCTCATGTATGAGAAGCGGGCCTTTTAACCACTAGGCCACCACTGACTTATCTTTCTGTAATTACTTAAATGTTACAAATTGAATTGATTATACATTTTTTAATACCCTCTATGTCTTTATATGATGATAACTTGTTGTTCTCAATTATTATATACAGTTTTTTTTTGCTAAAATATTAGTCTATGTTCTATAACTTTGAATATTTTATATGCTTATTTCAATCCACTTCATTTTACCTTTTAGTGAGATATATTATTTTGGTAAGTCTGTCTCATTCCTGTTCCGATTGTGAGCTCTTTGCCTGCCTCTCTAATTTCACCACATTCCACATAACTGAGTGTGTTAGGCCATCAAATGCTTTGGAGTTGTACACCAAAGCTATGTCCTGTGGTTTTCTAACTCTCTAGCCTTTGCAATTACTTGTTCTATGACATTTATATCGTTCGTTCAAGAGTGTTCAGACCTGATTTTGTTATTCTCATTTAGCTGACTTTGTCTTTGATTTGAGATAATGTATTCACTTTTTTTATGAAAAAAGTTTTTGTGTTAATATTAAGAAAATAATATAGGTCTAGTTAGGAATAAAGTCGCATTTTTTGTAGTTTAATGTTAGATGGATAGTTAAAGTGGTTCTCATCCCTTCTTGTATATACATATAATATTATAAATGCGAAAGTAACTCTGTCTGTCTCTCTGTTACGCTTTCACGCCTAAACCACTGAACTGGTTTTAATGAAATTTAGTACAGATATAGAGTTGACCATGAGAAAGAACATAGGATAGTTTTTATCGAAGACTTTTGAAAAGTTGTCTTGGAAACGCGATATAACCGAACTCGATGCGGGCGAAGCCGCAGGCGGAAAGCTATTACAATATAAATTCCAAAACTTTTTAGGAATGTTATTAACGATTGTGGGGACATTTGTAATTTAATATAAAGCGTGAATGTTTCTTGTTAAGCGTTTAATATGAGTTACTTCATGTGCCTTCATTAGTTTGGGAGTCTATCATTATTATTTACTAACCATAGAAGTTATTGTATAGTTTGTCGTATTTGAAGTAGTTAAAAAACAAATTTAATATTTTTTAAAGGTTTTTTTTTTATGTTTTGACTAATATATTTCGTTATTTTATTGGTCCCTTTGCTTTTCGTGTCTGTAATATAAGTTATTGTTTATTACGATTTTAAATTTTCTTTTTAGTCAAAAAGGCTTCTAGATTATTGAATGTACTTTAATTGTAAAATATATTATGAAGTATGTTAAATGATTAATATTTTTATTTCTGTCAAAGTTAATTTTAGATTATTTGGGTTGCAATATAAATACCTTCTTCCTGATTTTTACCGTTGGCATTTCAATGACCATCTTTTCTTCCTGTGGTTTGTAAAGAAATAAATTCTGTTCAG